CTTGTTAATATATATATATATATATATTGAAAAACTATGTATAGATTATATTGAAAAACTTTAAATATGATATTAACATAATTCAGAGCATAAAATCATTTAATAGTAAATTGTAGCATATTAAGTTTAAACAAATCCGTGAGAAAACTGTATAACAGATTAAAGGATTTAAATATAAAACTCTTCAACTTTTGACATGAATAAAGAGTAATATGGTAATTTTGAAAGCTTCAATTTGTTATTTTTATCCGTAATTACTCGTATCTCATTAACAGTATTTACTACTTAATTCAAGCAACGAATTTAAGCGAAAAAATTCATTATTAAAATGCATTAAAAAGGTAAACAACAGAATAAAGGATAATATTTTGAAAAGATATTAACCTTAAAAATGTTTTACTTAGTAAATTTATATTTCTTAAAGATACAAAATTTAGCAAAAAATTTTTTTCTTCATTTTCCGTGAATAACTAATTTCGTAAAATTTTTTGATCAAACATTATTTCAGATTATTTCAGTTTACTGTAGAAAGACATGGCATTCCCAGTTTCTCCTTTACTGTTGTTTCAATATTTTCATGGTGAGATTGCAGTAAATTTAAAAGAAAACGTGTGTCCCTTTTAATTATGTGTGACGAAGTAAAACTTGATTTGCCGAATTATTCTTTAAATGACATTAATTGGAATCACATTCGAATCGTATCTTTATATCAGTCATCTCAAATAAATTTCCACACAAAATGAAACTACCATTATTGCTTCCTTATATGTTAATTATTTATATTGAATACATTACAATAATACAAAGAAAATTTGTTTTGTAATAAAGAAAAAGGTTAAGGTAAAGAAAAAGTCTTTTCTACATTATTTGTACTACTATCATCGTGTATATTATGGCACATGCTTGAAAACTTTCAAGAAATATAAAATTCACAAATAAATATATATGAAAAATGTATGTCGACAGAGAAATAAGAAGTGTTTATTTTTTGGCCAAAGTTTATTTTAAAATCTAGCTTGCTGTCAGGAATTTATGACGTCTGTAAACATATCAATCTTATTTACTTTAAGTTCCTTCAGTATTTCCGAAAAGAAATATTTAAAAAAGTATGAACATGAAATGTTTTCCAAATATACAAATGTTTTTTTACATCTAGTAATGAAAACAATTAGTGAATTATTAACTTACAAACGATTGCATTCAAATAATGGTTCATAATAGTGTCACGTGACAAAGTGATATCTTATCTATTAATGAAAAATTAGTGAAATAATATTAGCTATTTTTATACTGAAAAAGTTGAAATAATTAACTTACAAACGATTGCATTTAAATATAAAATGTTTAATGCAGTACATTTTCATTGACTTTCTTAATACGACAAAGCATTATTAACTTTCATTCATAATAAATACTATTATCAAGGCAATTAAGCAGAAAATCAAATATTAATGAAGCCTTTTGCTTCGATAATAAACAGTTCATTGTTGAGAAAATATATGATATCTATTTATGAAAAGGACTTCCATTCAGTCACACATTTGAATTCTATTGATGTCGCAGGGAATAAGATGGGAATTGCTTATTTTGATATCATTCATAAAATAAACTAACCAATATATGCTTCATTACTTATTTAATCTTTATAAAATTGAAATCATTGGAAGCAGAACAAGGGAAAATATATTGAAAGAATTCAGACCTTTATCATTGATTTATAAATTGATATCTTAAGCAAAAAGTCGACGAACGTTAGGAAGTGAGCCTTACTGTAATAATATATTCAGAATCTTGAATAGTAATGTAAAGTACATATTAATATCTAAAGATCTAAGAGCTTTCAATGATATAGAACAATCCACTGAACCCTCAAAGCCCACGACGTCTCAGTATAGATTGTATTTGGTTTAGGAATATTTGACGGAAGAAGAAATTAAATATTTGAATATGTTTTGAAATAACCAAAATATAATAAGATGATAGAAATAAAACTTAAAATTGGATGTAAGTTTTTGCTGTTTAGTAACATTAATTTTTAAATAAATAATGCTTTAGGTTAATAATGAATATTGCTCATAGTGATTAAAATGTATTTTGGATTCTAGTCAGATTTAATTCATTTTTAAAATTATTCATTATAGGTTGGTTTTAATATCATTTACAAATCTTTTCAGCTCCTGTGTTTGTCTGTTCTCTTTCTTTACTGATTATTATTAACCCTTTCCTACCTGGCGTCCGGTATATCAGACATCAATTTTAATCCATATAGTTCCTAAGGAAGTTTCACGTAAAATACAAAGTAATACATAACCTTGTTCAAGTAAATAATAAAGTTTTTAAAATTTATGCTTTCGCAACTATTATAATATTGCAACTAATAAGACATGAAAAGCATCATAATGTGTTCTCGGCATCATAAGCTTATAATCAGAATCTTTGATTCAATACCATATATAGAAATCGTATGGCAAAAGGTCTTGGTGATGAAATTATTGTTTATAACTCGCTTGCTACTAACGTTTCAGACATAGTGAACCACCTATGACAAAATTACTACAAGAACTTAAATAACACATTTTTGTCACTTTAAGGACCATTGACAGGATCAAAACACGAAGGGTGTGAATAAATTTGATAACAAACTAGATGCTTATATAGTCTGTCTATGAAAAGAACATCTCTCGTCATCCGTCTGAAACAATGGAGGTTGACATGGTAACCAGGTCTAACTATTTATATAAAGGGTCAATATTTAAGAAAGTTTTTGCTCTGGTTCGGTGATAAAGAGGGAATCGGGGGAGAATAAACTATCCTTTTCGAAGCGTGCTATTTCTTGATCCCATAGCAGCAGCCGTCATAAAAATGTGTGTCAAGGAGAGGTTTCTCTAATGATTAACTATAGTGTGGCAAAAGAAATAGAGTAGCACCACATATCGAATATTTATAACTAAAAAAACTTGGTACATTTATCTTTAATTTTGCGCATCATTTATTGCAATATGTCTAATAGTTCCAAAAATATAAATACATCCTTTTTTGCTAACCTTGTATATTTATAAGGAAGAAAATTGGATTGTTTTATTTATGTAAACCTAATGTTTTTCCTTAATAGCCCTTTTTGATTTACCCAAAAGCTTTTGTTTTTGTTTGATTGTATATTGGGTCAATGATCTTTGAGAAACAGTTTCTTTTATAAAAGAAAAGTCCCTAGAGAAATTTTCTTTATGCTTTTCATCGATTAACGAGAAAGATGAACCCATTTTCTTTTAATAATCTCTAATGGTTGGTCATCTTTTCTGAAGCAAAACAACAAAGTCAGTTTTAGCAGTAGAATAACGCATTATATTTAATGACTAAGAAAGTTTAATAGTTACTGAGGTTCTATATATTGCAGCAACTCAAGAAGATATTTATTAATTTAAAAATTGCTTTAAATACTTTGCAATTAAAAAAAATATTCACACACTGATTTAAGTTGTTATGAAAGCAACTAAATTTTGTTACTTTCTTAAAAACCTTTTAATTTTCGTCAGAAATATTGATTGTTATTCTTTTAAAATAAACGTTAAACGTAAATTTCTTTGTAATTTTTTGTATCCTAATTCTTTTAATTTCTTTCTTATTTTAATTGTGTGTAATTTGTTATTTTATTCCTGCTGTACGAATTAATTAATTATTGTAAGTTATTATTATATTACATTGCTACACCAGCCTACGAAAAAATAAATAATTTAGCATTTTGGTCATTTTCAGGCCTTATAAGAACATTGCATGGCTACCAAGATCTTAAAAATGTGTTTAATGGACGATCTTTAGTAATTTTCTCTTCCAAGAATTTTAGTTTATGAACAAAAAGTTGACAAATTACTAGAAAAATTATAATTAGAATTTAGCAAATAGGAATTCGGTATGTATATACTGTGAAAAAGAGTTTATCGAAATTTTGAAAAAAATGTGTATAAGTAACTTTAAAACATATAATAATCGATTGAGAAGACCCATATATACAAAATTGAGACATCATACATTTATTTTTGAGTAAAGTGCATAGAAACTGTATATTTTGTGACATGGAGAGCAAAATGTGTGAGAGAGATACTTGTTAGCTGCTAGTAGGATTTGATTAATAATTCGTAGGATTCGTCGTAGGATGTTCTAACCACTAAAGTTATACTCCCCAGTCTATGGATAGTTAGGAAGAGTTCTATTATAGCCACCGCAATGGCACATCATGCCAATGTCCGATTTCAATGGTACAAAGGGTTGCAATTCGGAAATTACTGTCACAATTCGCTATATCTTAAAATATTTTAAGCGAATGGAATGTATGATATCATGTGTCATGGTGGCGGCCACTGTATTAGGCTTCCCAACTCTCCCTGTAATGGAGTGTACAACAATCGTGGTTAGAGCATCCCAGTACGAATCCGGTGGTCAATGGTTCGAAAGCCAACGAACATCTCCCTCTCTCTCACACACACATTTACGAAAAATTTATAGCCTCTATGCATTTTGATCCAAAATCAGTATATGTTCTTTCAATTTTTCAATACACGAGGTTTTGGAATTCAACTATTATTTGTTTCGGAGCTAATTTGAGAATTTTTGCTCAACTTTGAGAAACCTTTTTTTATACTGACTTTAAATTTTCCTTGTAGACAGGAGAAGACGTAATACCTATACGAATTTAGTAAATAAGATTGAAAATTTGCGTTATAAGTGAACATGAAAGAATTCTATGTTTACCCAATTCCACTACATAACCGTGTGATCATGAAAAGACCATAAGTTGGCATGAATGCTGTGGCTATGGCAAACACGGCATTGGTTGTGAGAGCTGAAACTAATGTTCTTCGCCTTCCTAATTTGTCGCCTAATGTCCCCCACACAAGTCCACCGATCATCATTCCAAAAAATGATATGGCAGCTGTAAAAGAATGTTAAATTTAAGTTAAAAAATTAGAAAAACCTAATATTTACAAAATATTGAAAATATTATTCGTGAGCTTGATCTGATAAATATTTTTTCAGCTCTTCCACTCCTCGCGTAGCTTGTAAACAACACTTCCTTTATGAATTATCTTAAATTTCAAATGAAATTTAATCCAGATTTTTTTTAAAAATTTCAATTAGATTATATCTATTTTATTAGATTTTGTACCCTTTTTGTTTGTGAAATATTTTGAATTTCCTTTTGTGTCTTTCCAAAGTAGGACTTAATCAGCGAAATTTGAAATACAGCTTCTTTAATATGATCCTGAATGTAATGAAGAAAAAAAAGCAACGAATCAAAAATTGAAACGAATAAGTTACCCTTACGAAGTTATAAGGTGTTTTTCAGATTGTTTTGAGGCTGAAGGGTGTAAAACAATACTCCTGAGATAGAAAATGAGCTCATGTTATGCACTAAAATTAACCCCATCAAGGACCCCAATTTCAACTTCATTTACACCTCTCTGAAACAGTCTCTATAGTTCAGCAATACTTTTAATTGATATCAAATTATATTATTCAGACCTAAAATATACTTATTTGCTTGAAGTGCTTAAAAAATTACCAGCGCACTTTAAAAATAACCTCGCTTAGCTAAGCTGGTTTGCTCTACGTTAGATTTTTGCCAATTTAAAAACTACCTCAAGAGTGAAGAAAACGACTACATACACCTTGATTATAAATCTTATGAGTTTGATTTTTTAAGGTCATTTTTGAAGTTAACTTCAAATAAACATCAAATCAATCTTAACACTTCAAAACAACCTGAAAAATACCTTAAAGTTTTGTAAGGGTAATAATAATACTATTTTTTAGAAATACCGTAAAAGTTATAATAATGAAAACTATTAACTTCGAGTGTGAAAGAGCTGAATTAATCAAACTAATTTTTAAATTTTCCAAATTACCTAACCATCCTTTTCTATTGTCATCCATGCATAGTTCCCTTTCTGCGCTTGGCAAAACATAAGCGATAACAAAAACTTCTATGGAATCTGCCGCCAAACCCAAACCAAGAATGAAGAAGAGAAAGTATTGAAATAAACCGAAGCCAGCCTACAAAAAAGACATGAAATAATAATTACGAAGACATTAAAACATCTTGTAAATAACATTACCTGTTTGAAAACTTCATTTGCTTTATAAATAAATAAATATGAAATGACAGTCGACATGTTTTGAATGCTTTAAAAATACACTCCCATTTTCAAACATTGCCAGAGATGAATCATATTTGTTTGTTTCTATAGTGAATGATGTTTTCAATCAAGTAATATCTCACAGTTACAGCTTCCTGGGATTATTTATTTAATCTTGGGAATGGTACTAATGACTTGGTTAATATTTTTGTGGCAAATGCCACACTATTGTAAACAATAGCAATCATGCTGTTAGTGCGTGTGCATATCTGCCAACTTTTACGCATTTGGGATAAAATTTTATTTCTATATTTAAAGTGGTAGCAAAATGCATGCTTTCTATACATTCCTAGTATTTATAATCTTCATTTATCATATCTATTTGAATACCACTATTTTTTTTAAAAACGTAAGCATATATATTATTACGTAATACTGTTGTGGCAGTTCGCATAAGCTTCTTCAAAATACAGCATATGTTTCTACCTAAAATTGCAATTTAAATTCTATTTTACTACCACTGGGGAAAATCAACCTCGAAAGGATTAAAAGTTGGCAGGTATACGTGTGCTCTCCAGTATTTTTTAATTGTACAATTAAATGTTCAGTAGTGCAGGGCACACATCTAAATGTTCAGCAGTCACAGGAAGACACAAAAATAACAGTCAGTCGAATCAACTACACCGACATAAAAGAGGTGAGACCTCAGACAGTGTGATGTCAGTTAAAAGTCAAACGCCAGCCAAACCTGCCTTTCTAGGGGCATTAGGAACATAATCGGGGTTTTCATTAAGGATTGCACAGTTTTTATCTTTAGATGCCTCTACTTTTAATTTAATTTTAGCATTTTCATCAATTAATTTTTAACCCATTCACTAATAAAGGTGATTGATGTAAAATGATGTTTTTCTGAGCCAATTTAATAACATTAACCTATTTGTTAATAGTTAGTTACTGATCTGTTCAAAGGCCATATAATTAGTATATACTAACCATTCCAGTTTTCATTTTCAGTAAGTTTAACTTTGTTAAAAAGTTCATCCAGAAAAAAGTGCTTTAAATTAAAAACAAAATAAAACAATGTTTTCTGCTGCACTTTCAAAAATTCGATCAATTAAAAAAGAAATGCTTGCGTAAGTGCCTTTTAAATTTGTCCTCAGACTACAATTTCGTAAATGGTACAATTTCGTAGTAACAATTTACTACAATTTGTACTTTTTTGAGAAAATTGCCAACTGCTGATGAATTTTGTGCTTAATTCTGAAACTTAGGAAGAAACTTCCTGCTTTTCGTAGCAGAAATCGCACATTTCTATCTCGTTCCACTTCCAATTCTCTAATTATCCCAGTTTTTTAACAATTATGTTTAATACAATAAAAATAATATTTTAGACATAATTAATAAAATTAGATATATAAGTAAATCTATGTGACTTTCTATATGAAAATTCCATTGGAATTTCTATTTAATTCAGATTTTCTATTTAATTCTACTGAAATTTCTTTTTAATTTTAATGGAAAATAATTTTTTACTATTTGCTTATTATTAATTTGAATAAATGCAAGTGCCGAATAAATAGTGTATCAATAACTCTATTTTTAAAATAAAGCAATTTATATAAATTTCTATAATTGCATTTGGTTAGAAAATCAAAAATGAACACTTTCCTTTACATTCTTTCTGTAAACTTTCATTTACAAGTGAAGTGAATCCAATTGCTGTGAAGGACAGATTCAATTTAGAAATACTCCTAAATGCTTTGTAACATAAAATCATTAATTAAAACACGTATGTGAATTTTAAATTAATTATATCCTAATAGTCTGGAACATGTGGTAGTGAAATGTTCTTGGACACGAGAGGAAAGAGATACAATTTACGAACTATTCACAATTTTAAATAAATTCTGCATATTTTGAAACTAGTATAAAATAATCATGTTTGACTTTTAATACTTATGTTCGATTCAGTGCTAACTACTACCTTTAAAGTCATGAGAGAAATTAAGAACATTTAAAAAAGTATAAATCATAAATTCTTTTTAATTTTTCTAAAAATAAGAAAAGAAAAAAAAACATTTATAATTAATTAATGCCTCTATCCTATTCTGCAGTAATATTTGAATAAATAAATAAATGAAGAAAAAAGAGGATTCATAACTTTTAAATTCCATCAACAATGACATGTTAAAATATTAATTGCTTTTATGTTAAAACACTTTTACTTAGTTATTAATTTTTTTTTCCAAATCATCCATTGCCGCACAATTAGAGATTTTATAAAAAAATTCATTTAGAGGTTTGTGCACCGTTCAAATTTTCATTCTTAAGTTATGGTAATATAACCTGCAGCAGACTATCCATCCAATTAACCGTAAAGTTTACGATAAATACTATTTTTTTACCTTTGGGGTTTTGAAACCGTTTACAACTAGTATGGTTAAGAAAAAACCATGTATACAGAACTATGCGGTTTCTTAACCTTTTACAACTAGCAAAAAGTTTAGCTGGACAGAGGAGATAGTATAGCACCTTTATAATGCAACCATCTGTATGTGAATGAAAGTAATGTATTCTAACAGCTCAGGGTAGCAAATTGGGGAGTACGGATCACTGGAAGCTCTTCATATATTGAAGGTAATGGAGGAATATTGTTGTGTCAATGCTGAGACTTGAATCCCGGTTAAGTCGGTAGCAAGATTAGCCTTCTCGGCTGTAATATGTACCCATCAACACAGAACTCATTATCTGGGTTCATTAGTTGGGTCTAGTTGATGCGACAATATTCTGGTTGTTTAACCGTATTATGTATAAGCAACTAATAAATGATTTTTTCACAGTTAACCGTTTGAATACTATCTTATTTACGGTTATTTGACTGTTTTGATCTAATGGGGCAAAAAAGCAATTAAATAAATTGTTATTTATCCATTTTTTCTGAAACTTTTTGAACAGTGTATTGCTTTTCTAAATTTTACGGACTTTTCGAATTTTCAAATAAAATCAATCATTTATGGGTGAAACTTATTTCAATATTTTCCCTGTAGAAGTACAATTAAATGTAAATGTAAAATATTACCACAAGATTATAAATGGTTTTTTACAGCGACTCAGGATCGAATCCCGGTGGTGACTGGTTGATATGAATTCTACTTGCAGCTTACACTGACCACCATATATGGCAGTACTTTTACTTTCGTTACTTGTACCGCCGGTACAAGTAAAACGTACGTACTTTTACTTGTACTTCGTTACTTTTTAAATTTAGTACTTTTACTTGTACTTTCGTTACTTTTTTAGG